TTACCCTCACTTACAATAGTGTCTAACGTATTTATGAGGATTGGGACATACACATTAGTGTTCATTGGTACGGTATATAACAGTGATCAACGCCAAAATCACGCATAGCAGCCGTTGAATTCAAGGAATTGTGTACTGGAGCATTTTCCTGATTAATCTTGACCCCTTTCGTCAGTTTTCCTGTGTGTCTGGTCTAGATAGCCTTTCTTAACTCCCTCAACAAAATGAAATAGTACTCTCCATTGATGGGGTGACCCTTTTGAAGATAGTTAATAAACATAATGTCTTTTGTATCGAAAGAAACTGAGTCCATTACTTTCCCTGTAGATGAAACAACCTTAGCCTTTTTGTGGGTAGTTTAGGAGGGATGTCTCCACTGCATGGATTATCTCTTTGACTCTGGCACAAAGTGGTGAACCCAGCACTGATCTTGAGTTAGGAAACGTTCAGAGAAACCCGCTGAATCTGCCTCAAACAATGTTAGATTTTCCCGTCATGCCAAGTTCAATGCGCAGAATCTTCTCAACTCTCTCACGAGATATGCTAATAGCATTGGCTATTTGATTCATAGTTAATCGCTTGTCCTCCGTCACTATCTGGGGAAGATGATCAATGTTTTCCTCAGTGAGGGGAATTGCACGACGTTCAGACTTTAGGTCATCTTCTCCTCCTAGATTCAGCTACCCACTTTTTTTCATATGTTAATGTAGCAGCCACGTCAGCATGAATGCCCTTAGGGTCTAAACCCTTTTTTCTTCAGGTAACACCACGATGCCAATTTTTGTCCATTTTCAAGTGAAGACGCTACTTGTTATTTTTTAAGTTTTCTTTGAACAGTCAGATGTCAGTTTAACTGGAAAGAAACAATTAATTCCAAGATTTCAGTGCTCTAGTATCACTTCTTGATAGTAAGCCTATGAGCTTTTCAGCCCACCCTCGTATAAAGTTGTCTCGCACCTCCAGCCTGATCCACCTTCCTCGCTCAGTGTCTTTACTGCGTTATATAGTCACTTAATTCAAATGTGTGTTATTATGCTAACTGAAAAAGTATGTGACTCACAGATTAATTGTTTCGGTGTAAAGAACACTGTATACCTGGGTCTCGAAAGGTACTATCTATGAGTAAGATCGCCAACATGATAGTTTTAATAAAACACTTTCCAGAGAGATAAATTTCTATACTTACTTGATTTTAATACCTCCACTTTGTAGGGTGGTTTCTTATGCTGACAACCATATATTATGTTTTCTTACAATTAATAGTTAGTCCTTTCTTTTCGGTTTCTTTGCGATCATTTCTAGGAGTTTATGCAGTAAGTAAATACCTGTGTAAAGTTTGTATTTCTATCGGTCAACCTCTTTTTAAATATATTTTATGAACAGAAATTTCCGGTAAAAATTACAGGAACAAAACCAGAAACTATATTTCAATTGCAAGTCAGGAATGTCCGTCTTTTGTCTATATTCCTTGCTTTTTAACTTTGTAAAAAAGTATCTACTTAAATAATGTCTATTCATAAAGCCGCGTTAAAAATACAACAGAGTGTGTTTTTTTTGTTTTGTTTTTTTGTTACTCTATTGTTATAAACCAGAATAAGTAGTTTGGAACCTATGGCGATTTAAATATCATTGTTTCTGTTTGTTTTGTGTCAGACAATGCTTTTGAGATTCGAAATGTACGACCTCAGAAAAAAAAAACAACCATATTCATTCATTATTTGTCGCGTGTTGCGTTTGTATAAGTTGTAACACAATGATTTAAAATAAAAAGGAAATGTTCAAATCAGAATTAAAATAACTTAAGGCTATTACTACTACAAAACAAGATACTGTAAAGAAGTATCAATGTGATTATTGATTTGGAAGTTAACCAGTGTATTTTCGAAGGCGACTTAATGACAGTGTCGTCGATGTAAGATCTTGCTGCTTGGATGTGAATTGGGCCTAAGTTATACCTTGTGGTAAAAAACAAAGATAAGATGCAAAATAAAAATAATCAAAAACACAATTGCAATTAAAAGAATTTACTTCGAAATACCTTAGGAAAAAAATACACACACATACACACACACATATACATATATATATATATATACTTACATACAAATATATATATATATACATACATATATATATATATATATATATATATATATATATATATATATATATATATATATATATATATATATATATATATATATATATATATATACCGGATGTAACAGCAAAATAGTCCATCTGTTAGATTGAGATTTGAACCATTGTATCTTTAAAATGGTTAAATAAATCTTATTGGAATTCTCCGAAATTTTTATAACACTATTGGACTCTAGTTTGAGTAATAAAAATGTATAATTACTCTCCAAACTAAACGGAAGAATCGTGAAGAGATCAATTATAAACAGAAATGACATGTTCATCATTAATTGATCATAGTTGAAAATTAAAAGTTCATGAAAGATTGAAATAAAGATCATATATATATATATATATATATATATATATATATATATATATATATATATATAATTATTTATATATTATATGCGCGATACTTATTAGAAAGGTTTGTCTGACGATCGCAAAAGTGTGAAACCCAGGGTTACAAACTCACATCCTCCAACCAATATATATATATATATATATATATATATATATATATATATATATATATTATTCAAGGATCGTTTCCAACTTGTTCAAGATGATCTTTGCCCTCTCTAACCTTCTAACTTTCTGTCCTTGAGGAAAAAGGTACCTAACAAGTTTCACGCACGATTTCATTTTTAAGTCTTTTTTCAATGCTATTTGGACTGTCATAACTTGATGATCCCTCTTGCTGTTGTGATCTCCTCATCCAATTTTCTTCTCTACTGTTCCTTTTCTAAACTTATTCACTGTTACTCTTGATGGTCCTTGAATGGACTTTGAAGATGGAAGCCAGAATATGAATGTTGGTACGATTACTAAAGGCCTGAATGATTTTTTTCCTCTCACCATTACTCAGTTGAGAAAACTGTGGGGTGGACACAAAACAATTTTAAGCCGTTCTATTTCTAGCTGAATAACTCAAAGGGCATTTCAGTGATTCTTACGACAAATGGTGTCAAGATGGCTAAACGTCTTATCTGAAAACGTGGAAAAATGGAACTCAGTTTAGTGTTTTTTTAGATATTAAACATTTTTGTGGGGATGTACAATTATGCTGTAACACAATTTAGACAATTTTGCTGTTACACCAGATATATACAGAGGGCGCTCTTCTTATTTCTTAATACATGGCCCAGTGGATAAAAGAATTGGGTGAAGTAATCCAGTCACTTGACCCTAAGTGTTGTGAGTTCAATACCTGGCCACAACCGAGGTGAATAAAAACTTGGAGAGTTGAGTTACTAAATGGAATTAACTGAAACTGAAAAATTAGAAAAATCTATCACAATGGACCAAATAAAGGGTTTGGTTTGAAATTCCAACGTCTATGAACTGAAGAAGGCCGAAGCGTAAAACGGCCGAAACATCGTGAATATGACAATAAAGATGAAGACAACAGTCCGAACAATGTAAATAGCGAAAATTATTAACTTTTATAGAACAAAAATGAATTACCATAGTTTAAGAAAAGTATTGTTGTATCAAAACAACATGAATTATTATGGTTAACAAACTATTTAAAATTTTCAGATTGCTCTCCTTCATGTTCAATACAACGCTGAACCCCATCAAGAACACTTCTTTAAACTATTTGAAACATTTCTACGTTCATTTCAGAAAATTTATCAGAAATTGCTTTTTTTATATTAGGAATTGTTTTCGGTTCCAGCATGTAAACACGATTTTCCATTCCACGCCACAAAAAAAACACTGCTGGTGTTAGGTCTGGTGATCGTTATGGCCAATCTATTGCTCAACGTCGTCCAATCCACTTGAGCTCAAAATTAAGATTTAATCATTCCCGAACGGCCAAGCCGTGGTTAATCTTAAACTATGTCATTTATTTTTGCTCAATAAAATTTAATAAATATAATAGGTCGTTACTTTTGTCGCCCGGGTATATTAATTTTTCATGTGCCGTGTCCCTTCGGGGTGTGGTTGATCATGGCCCTCCCCAATTCCCTTCTAGCTCTAAGCAAATTTTGACTCCTTGCCACCCTTCTTTGTCCCCGCTCAGCATTCCATACACAAAAACGCATTAAGTAGGTTACTCAATGCGTCTCTATGCCTCTTTTGCATTTAAAGTCTTGTGAGTGTTAAATTCACCGAGCCTTAAATGTGTGGTCCTGAAATGTCAACTGATTTTAAGTATAAATGTTCTTTTAGTCCCTCTTTTCTGTAAAGCATGCTCATTGCTCGCATGCACAGTCCATGGTATTCTCAGTGTACGTCGGTAAAACCACATGTCTGTCATTTCTTTATCTGTGAAGAAATTGTTCAGCACTCATTGTCATAATGATAAGGAGATATGGCAGTAACAATCTTTTCCTGACTCTTAACATTCTTTCCCTATTCCTATGAGCCTTCAGCTTTCTGTGTCACATTTTTCCATCTTCTTTTACAATCACAACCCAGAGAGTTGAATGTCTGCAATGTCTTCACTCTGACGTTTCGTATTCGTAGTAGCTCGTGTTAGCTACGAATTGAAAACCTGGGACTATCTCATTTTTTTCTGGCGACTAGGCATTCTCTCTTCTTACAGTTCATAAATAGTCCTTTTTTCGAAGTTCTTGTAGGTTTGAGAAATCTCAAAATTTCGTTAGAAACTGTTGTAACCTAGAAAGCGTTACTGAATGAGGTATAACTAAAACGGAGGTTGGAAATAAAAATGGTAATCTTTATAACATCAACAAAATAAAATACTCGCCAGCGGCGTGAAGTAGGGAAACCACTGCTAGTGGGGGACTACTTAGTCAGTATATTGCCCTCATTTACAATAGTGCCCAACATATTTATGACGATTGGGACATATCTATTAGTGTTCATAAGTACGGTATATGTATAAGTACTATGCCAAGTCGATATCTATCTATCTGTCTATCTACCTATCTATCTATCTATCTATCTATCTATCTAAACCAATTCAGTATCTATCTATCTATCTATCTATCTATCTATCTATCTATCTATCTCTGCGTTGTAACCTAGAAAAGGTTGCTGAACGAGGTATAACCAAAACAGAGGTTGGAAATGAAATGGTAATCTTTATAACATCAACAAAATACAATACTCGCCAGCGGCGTTAAGTAGGTAAACCACTGCTTGTGGTGGACTACTTAGACAGCATATTACCATATTACCCCCATTTACAATAGTGTCCAAAGTATTTATGGCGATTTGGACATACCTATTAGTGTTCATAAATACGGTATATAACACTTTGCCAAGTCAATATCTATCTATCTATTTATCTCTCTATCTCTCTATCTGTCTATATATATATATATATATATATATATATATATATATATATATATATATATATATAAACCAATTCAGTATCTATCTATCTCTGTGTTGTAACCTAGAAAAGGTTACAGAATGCGGAATAACCAAAAGGGAGGTTGGAAATGAAATGGCAATCTTTATAACATCAACAAAATAAATACTCGCCAGCGGCGTGAAGTAGGTAAACCACTGCTTGTGGTGGACTACTTAGACAGCATATTACCCTCACTTACAATAGTGTCCAACGTATTTATGACGATTTTGACGTACCCATTAGTGTTCATAGGTAACATATGTAACAGAAACAAAGAAAGGAATACTGAATTACATAATATCAGTCCTCCTATAGGGCAGTGACTTCTGGGCCATCTCCTCACAGACGAAGAAAACTTGAAACACCAGAAATGTGGTTCTATATAAGGATGACAAAGTTTTAGAGGAAGTGGAAAGCAAAAGACACTTATAATTGACAACAAGAAGAGACACTTGAAATTCCTAGAGTATATAATGAGGAAAGAGAGCTTGGAAAATTTGATACACCCAGGGCAGATTGAAAGTAAGAGGGATAGATGAAACACACGCATAAACTACGTGGCGAGATTGCCTGAATGAATTGCGGGGCAAGATTTAGGAGATAACAAAAAAAAAAAAAAAATTTATATAGAGCTACAAAACAGCAGAAAATTTCGGAGAGCCATGATCGCCTGAAGAAGAAGAAGAAGGAGGAGGAGGAGGAGGAGAAAGAAGGAGGAGGAAGAAGAAGAAGAAGAAGGAGGAAAATAAGAAGAAGAAGAGGGAGTTGGAAGAAGGAGGAGGAGGAGGAATAAGAGGGAGTTGGAAGAAGAAGGAGGAGGAGGAAGAAGAGGGAGTTGGAAGAAGAAGAAGGAGGAAGAAGAAGAAGAGGGAGTTGGAAGAGGAAGAAGAAGAAGGAGGAAGAGGAGAAAGAAAAAGAAGAATAAGAATAAGAGGAAGTTGGAAGAAGAAGAAGAAGGAGGAGGAGGATAATGAGGAGAAGAAAGAAGAAGAAGGAGGAGGAGGATAATGAGGAGAAGAAAGAAGAAGGAGGAGGAGGAGGAAGAAGAAGAAAGAAGTGTCATCTGTGTATCTACCTATTTTTTAAGTACGATACTTTCGATAACAACCTGCACAGGTGCATTTTTAAGCATTTTGGAAATAATACTGCAGCCTTTAAGACACGCCCCTAAAATTGCGTTTCATATTTAAATTTCAATTATGGATATAATGATAAATTTCTCACTTTTAAATCTATCGTTCGAAATGGATGTCTTTAATTGTTGATTAAATGATTAATATTTACATTGTTATGAGTTTTGTTTTAAACGATCCAGATATATTTGTCGTTGGTGTCGTCAAAGCCTAAAAACAAAGTAAAACTGAAAACTTTATACACTATTTTGACTTTCCTCAGATTTGTTATTACAAGGTTTCGGCAATTCCGCCCGAGGACCTTCATCACTTCCAAATCCTTTCGCACGAACGCAAGTGTTCTCCAAGGCTCTATCCTGGGTCCTACGCTGTTTCTGATCTTCAATGATCTTCCTGATGACAAATGTTCCCAAGTAGGTATTTATGCTGATGACACTACCATTTACTCCTGTGCCAATAGAAAATCCGTCAGAGTTGATAAACCCGGTTTCTACTCTTGAAAAGAAATATGTGGTTAACTGAGACAGGAAATAGCTCGCAAATTTGAATGTCTCCAAAGCGTAACTGCCCTCATTTAGCCACCATAGAGAAAATTCCCTGCCCGCTATCAGAATGGTCGATGCTAGGCTCCCGGAGAGCAACACACTGCGCGTTGTTGGTCTCACGTTTTCAACTGACTTGAAGTGGAACGACTAAATCAAATCAATAACTGCATCTACTGCAAGGAAATTTGGGTCATTGTATCGTGCAAGAAGAGTCAATCTTGCCCATTTACAAATCTACTATTCCTCTGTACATTGAGTACTCTTGCCATATATGGTCTGGTGCTCCTGCTACTCATCTCGAGGTTCTTGACAAAATCTAAAGAAGGAAATGCAAATATAATCGATCCTAATTTGGCATCAAAACTTCACTCACTTTCTCGCCGACGTGACGTGTCTTCCCTCTGTATTTTCTACAAATATAGGAACTGCACTGAAGAGCTTTTTTCCTCTGGTACCCGGACTACATGAGTTTAAGCGTAGGTCCCACCCTTTTAGTGTTGAGTTAGTTAAATGTAACCACCACTTCGACTCCAACAGTTTTTTTTTCTCTCGCACTTCCCGCCTGGTGGAACTCGCTTCAGTTTCCTTACTTCCCTGATAACTACAATCTTCAGAAATGTAAATGCAACGCTAATCCCCATGTATCTTCTTGAACACCGTTCAGATTTTATCCTTTCCTCAGTCCACCCAGTACCCAGTCTTCTCTTTCACCTACACACTCTGTAACCACCCACCTGAGTACTAATAGCATTCCCACCTTGTTTGGGGTGAAATGATTAAAAAATATTTCTTTTCGTCATTATCATCACGACATATCGATTGCACGGATTCAATTCTTTTTTCTCCTGACTTTACGATTCTTAATTACATCAATTAAGTATTCAGGCAGGTAATCATCCCTTCCCATCTTTGCTGGATGTATGTTTTGAATAGGTGACCAGTGCTCGTGTTTCCAACTTTTGGTGTCCGCAACAGAACATCACATCCTTCCTTCTCCAAGACTTTTCCATGACTATTCTGCAAATTTTGTTCTCTCGCAAGTATTTCAAGTAGATGCTCACAGAACCGTTTTTATAGGATACTGTTTCTAGTATAGATTGTGTAAGGTACTTTTTGTAGCATAGATTGTGCAGGGTATTGTTGGTTGCATAGATTGTGTTGGGTACTGATGTAATGAATATGCATACACCTGTGTTCCCCCTCACAGTAATATGATTGTCTGGTGTCAGCCATAAATACAGACTAATGTGGAGGCACAAGGGGGACGCCTATTGACTACGCCTATTGACTACGCCTATTGTCTACCACTACGACGAGGACCAGTCCATTACGGTTACCTGCTAGATTGTCCTACTCGGTTACAGTAATCCAAAACTACTTTGCTACTTAGAACAAATATATCCCTTTCCGGGACATATCAGGTACTGTTTGTAACATAGATGTTTTAGGGTACTGTTTTATCATAGATTGCATAGGGTACTGTTTTTAGCTTAGACTTTGTAGGGTACTGTTTGTAGCATAGACTTTGTAGGATGCTTTTTGTAGCATAGATTGCATAGGGTACTGTTTTTAGATTAGACTTTATAGGGTACTGTTTTTAGCTTAGACTTTATAGGGTACTGTTTGTAGCATAGATATTGTAGGGCATTGTTTCTAGCATAGATTGTGTACGGTACTGTTTCTATAGCATAGATTTATTTCAGCACGTTGCATTCTTTTATATGCGCCATCAAGTATTTTATAGGTTTTTTTCCAATCGTTTCGTTAAGGCCTGTGTGTTGCTCTCATAGAGGAAGAAAGACTCGGCTACGACTTGTATGAAGTTTTGTTTGATTTTATCTGGTAAAGCAGATGTCCATACTATTGTCAGCGTGCCCATTGCATCCTATTCTTTGCCAGTAGGAATGTTCACATCACTTTTACTGCAAGAGATATTACTTCCAAAATAGAATAACTGATCGACCATTTTTAATGGCTTGCCAGACAGAAATCTGCATTGTCGACATTTATATAAAGACCAGTTTCTCTTGGTCCTTTCTCAATACTGTGGGACAATGAGTCAAACAGCACGATTTTATCTGCAAAAGAAGAAAGGTTGCCTTTTAATCTTTTACAATGACTTTACATAAAAGAATGTCTGCTTTCTGGTGAGAAATTGAGTCACATACATTTATCGTTTGGCCAAAACCTTTCTGCATCATACAGTGGGTGAAAAAGTATTTAACATCTACACAAATAATACGGTAAAAAGGGTATTTTAAAACTATTTTCAATTATTTTGATATGATTTGTACATCAACCAATCACAGGTTGTCTTCAATACATGTATTAACCAATCACATCACTCAATCGGCACTTAGCGATAACAGATCTGTCCCGCTATCTAAACATAAAAATGGTTAAAACAATTCCTTTGTTTTACGATATGTGACAGAAGACTATAAAGCGGCACAGGATTTTTCATGAATTTTTAAAATTTTCTTTTTTCATTGAGATGTTAAATACTTTTGAACACAGTCAAATTCGAAAATTGGCAATAAAAGTACATAAAATCATCTCAATTTTTCTTTATGTTTAGTTAGACAATGTTCATTAAAATACTTGAAGTATCATTCGAATTGAACAATATTTTATTGTGAAATTTATAAAAAAACGATGTGTTAAGTACTTTTATTACCCACTGTAGATCTAATACATATTTTTTACAATGCGACCGTCAACTGTTTTTTGCGGGGTGGGGAGGGATTGCTGAAAAGCAATATTGGACTCGCTACATGTATATTCATATTCAAATAAAACAAATAACTTGGCCCTAGACTAACCACGACTGATATGCGAGAAGTTGAGCGGTTATCGGTGAGGTAAGTGGAATGAGTGGATCGAGTTCAAATTCCAACATTGCGTTCACTTTCGCACAAAGAACCTTGGAAAAGGTATAAATCTATTTCTTCTCACCTCCGCAGGGCAGAGTAGGCTCTCCAACTTTCG